CAAAAACAGACTCGAACACTTCTACTTTTCACCAAACCATCCTTCCACCTCATCATATTCATCATCACTCAAAATCATAATTTTCTCAATTTTAATTTATTTTTCTTAAATAATAATAATAATTGCAAATAATTTCCTCAAAATTATTAAAAATTCATTTTCACTTACAATTACTTGTTTTCTCCTAGATCAAAATTATTCCAATACTTTTGAAAAATATTTATTAATTAAATAAAAATATAAAAATTCACTTCATAATTAAATTATAAAATTCAATTTAATATATAAAAAAAATAGTTTTCTTTCTCACATAGTTCATTTCTCACACCTTTCCTCCATTCCACCAAATTATACAATGCAATTCTATATGCTAATCCATCTTAACAAAAACATTGCACAATAATTTTGTACTTATCATGCTTCATAACATACATACAATATATCTCAATAATCAATTTAAAGCAATTATCAGAATACTAAACATAGAAATAGGCTAATTTTCAATCTAAATTCATCAATAAATCATATGAAATTACTAATGATTAAGCAATCGATTCAAACAACATTCATGGATGCCTTATAATCATACAAGGTTCCATACACTCAAGTTGCTCCATTTAGAAGCCATAAATTTCACATAATCTTAAAACTTTAAAATTCATCAAAAATAGAAATGACATTCAAATAATTCCAAATAAATTTATAATTAACTTAGAAGTAAGGGACTTCTTCTCAATGTTATTTCAAGCAAAAATGAATTATAAAAGTTATCCTACCCCTTACCTTATGTTGTAACTTGGTGAAGAGTAACTCTTGATCAAATAATCTATCAAGTCTTTGGGTCTCCTCTTTGCACCTCTAAGTAGTCTCCTACATGCCAATTAAATACCCCAATTAAATCCTTAATTCCAACCATATTAGACCTCTAAAATCTCACCTCCTTCATAGCCTAAAATTTTAAAATTCAAGACTATGGTTCTTTGAGTTATAAAATCATTTCTAGGGCCTAAATTGATGCTAATGGAATTAATACAAGTAGAAGAGAGTAATGGAAGTAATACACTTAGAGTAGGAAGAATCCTAATAACAAATATGGACAAGGTTCAGTATTTCAGAATTTTCTAGAGTTATATAAACTATTTTGGCATGAGGTAAGAGCCAAAATTTTAATAACTTAATTACCTACAATATTGATGAAGGAAATAAATTCAAATACCTTGTAGAATAAATGCAGTTTTTCAGTTTACAGTGGTTGTTTCCAACATGGCTCAACTACAATAACACTCTGAACATGCCTTGGTAATTTGACAATAACTCATGCTACATATAAGATATTGACATGAAACAAATTTCTAAATTTCGGAAATATAATTTCCTACAACTTTTATGAAGAAATCAAGTCCTAATTTCACACGTATCAATCCCAGTAATTCAAAAACCGAGGCTGTTGAAACAGGGCAACCTCTTAACTTCACAGCTATAGCACTTGACAGTAAAATGAACATAACTTGAGCTACAAATATCCGTTTGATGTGAAACAAGTTTCTAAATTTCTATAACTTAAAGGGCTACAACTTTTATGAAGATACTAATTCCTAATTCTGTTCACAAACGTCCCAAAATTCAATGAACAGTGACTTACGAATTAGGATGCTTAAGGTTTTTAGCTTAATCACTTCTAATCCTCAATTCTAAGTATTATTCTAGTGTCTTAGGTGTAAAACCTACAATAACACTCTTTCTACTCCCATTCAAGCTTAGCCAAGTGAGGAAAATTTTTGAAAATGCACCATTTTGAAAAATAAAACCGTAGAAATGTAGAGAAGATTGAGAGAAACAAACTTACCTCTTGGAGTTTCTTAAGAAAATCAATATTTTTCCCTCAAAATCAAACTCCAAAGTGAGAAGGGTTTGAGAGAAAGTGAGAAAATGGGAGAAGGGAAGAACTTACTGAAGGCAGATAGAGATGTGCTTTTTAAAAAGTCAAAATCACTTTTTTTTTTTAGATATATTATTATTTTATTATTATTATTTTATTATATTTTTTTTCCAAGTAAATTTCTAAAAATCACAAATAATCTAACCAACATAAAACTCTATAGTCACTTTCCCCAATTCTTAATAATTTAATTAATAAAATTTTTTACAAAAATTATAGAGGTACCGAGAATTAGGATGTTACAGGGATGACTACAGAGTGGGTGTCTGAGGTGGCGGCTAGGGAAGAATGAGAGAAAAAGAGTGAAGGTCTCTGGGGGTTTTTATTAAAAATAATATTATATTTTTACAAATAAATTATAGCGGTTCCACCGGAACCGCTATTAAAAGTGAATCTCTAATAGCGGTTCTCATCGAACCCGCTATTAAAAGTTAATCTCTAATAGCGGTTTCACGTTAACTCGCTATCTAATATAAATTTTACATAGCGGTTAAAGTGGAACCGCTATTATATATTTTCAAATATAATCGATTATTTGAACATTTAATCGATCATAATGGTTGTATATGATAGCGGTTCCACTTGGAACCGCTTTAAAACAGAACATATAATAGCGGTTAAACCTTAACCGCTATTTAAAATATAGTTTAGATAGCGGTTAACGTGGAACCGCTATTATATAGGTTGAAATATGATCGTTCCTTTGAAAATTTAATCGATCATCATCAAAACTTACATTAACTATTTTTTTGAATATTATGTTTTTAAATTTGGTAATAGAGAAAACGTTTCACAAAGCAAAATGTTAAATACTTTTAAATATTAAAATTGACTTTATAAAAAATTAGGAAAAAAATTAATCAAAAAGAGTTCAAAAATGTATTATAATATTTTCAGATTTAGTTTAATTATATTTTTCATTCTCAAAGTAGAAAAATATATTGTAATTATTTTAATTTAATAAAATATAATTTAAATTTTTAATACTAAAATTAAAAGATTAAATAATAATAAATTTAATTCTTCAAATTTAGTATTTAGAAACTAAAATTATAGTTTCTCTGTTTTAAAAAATTAAAATAAATATTTAAAAATAAAAATCAAAAGTAGTATTATCTTAAATTTATTCAAAGTATAATTAAATCTCTATTTTCTTCAATTTTTCTTTTTTTAACTTCTCAATTCTGCATTTTTGTCAATTCCATCATTATATTATCATCCTCATCTCCTCCCCATCTTCTACTTTATGTTTACAATAATTAATATTTTTAAATAATTTTTATTTTTATTTATAATTTTTTAATATATATTTGAGAAATTAATCACTTATAATCTATTATTTGAAAAACTAATCAATTCTAATCAATTATTTACAAAACTAATCGATTATAATTAATTATTTGAAAAAATTATCCAATATGATCGGTTATTTGAAAATTTAATCGATCATATTGGTTGTATATGATAGCTGTTCCACTTGGAACCGCCTTAAAACAGAACATATAATAGCGGTTAAACCTTAACCGCTATCTAAAATATAGTTTAGATAGTGGTTAACGTGGAACCACTATTATATAGTTTCAAATATAAATTTAAATATATTTTTAATTTATTTAAATATGATTTATTTTTAGTATTTATAAAATAGATTAGTTTTAAATTTTGAACTTTTCTAGCAGTCTATTTTTAATCTTTGTTATTAATTATGTTAAAAATGAACAAATATTAATTAGTATACTTAAACTAATGTATATTGATTATCTAATGTATATTGATATAATTTTTTTGTATATCAATTATATGAAAATAACCATGGTTAAGTAGTTAATAATAATAAAGCAATAAATTTAAAGATTAGATTAAAAATAAAGTTTTATAAAATAAAATTGTAATAATTTGATTAAAATTTTATTTTCTTAATTAATTAAGTTAATGAGGAATTAAAATGTGATCATTTGATGTGTTTAATTTTTTTAATATAAATTTTTAAAATATAATTTAATTTTTAATTGAAATTTTCAATTGAAAAATAAATTAAAGAATATCTATTATTAAACTTTTCTTAAACAATGTATTGAATAGTTACTATTACTCTAGTCTTAATTTATTACACTTTAAATTTTTAATAAATTTGATTTATTTTTAATAATATTTTTATTTTAGTAATTTAAAATTAAAGTTAATCTTCATTTTGTTAATATTGAGACCAAAGTTTATTTTTAAAGTATCTTTTAAAAATTAAATTATTTTTAGAAAATAAATTACTTTTAAAAAATAAATTGTCAAAAATATACTAAAACAATTAAAGTATATTTATAAAAAAAATTAAATATCATAAAAAATAATGTTCGTTAGCGACAGATTTAAATTTGGTCGCTATTTTCTCATTAGCTGATCGATTATCATTCGGTCACTATTTCAATTTTTAATTCGATCGCTAAATCAGTCAGCTAAATGATTTTTTTTATTTTAGTGTGGAATAACCATCGATTTAGCGACTAAAAATTTGCGACGCAAACTATTGGTCGTTATTTCGGTCGCTAACTAAAAAATGCGAAGCCAAATTATATTTCGGTGGCTAAATCGGTCGCTAATTCGGTTGCTAATAGCGACCGAATTAAATCGGTCGCTAAATCGGTTGCTAATTGCGATCGAATTAAATCGGTCGCTGAGTGCCACCGAAAAAATTCAGTCGCTAATTTAGGTCGCTAAATGTGTTTTGATGTTATGACCTCATTCAAGGAAGCTATGAAAAACATACGTTAAACTATGATCTTAATTAGGTGTTATTTAGTGTGGAAATTATGTACGACACATGAGTTAGAATATGTTTGCAATATGAGAGCATAAAATCCACTACATGGCATAATTATTTGAGTGTTTGTGATTGAAATATGCTGAAATTTTGTGTATCTTGTGATATACTATTTTGTCTTTATTTTCATATCTCGTAGTGAGAGACGACATTATTCTCGTGTTGTAGTGTGCGTGGATGACAAGTGATGTCCAACGCGACTAAATGGATAGATAATATTGACCACAAAACATATATAATGGAATCTCAATTGCAATGCACACCAGTTTCATGCAGCATCTGCATAGTCCCAATAGTAAAAAATTAAACTAATCCTTAATGATAGTGATTTCTCACTCTTTTATACATTCATAACAGTTATTTGGTAGAAAATTTACTTTTTTATTTTATTGTCAAAACCAATACACAGAAAATCATAAAAGGACAATGGCACATCATTGATATAAAACACTTTTCCTGTACTTGTTATAAGACATGATTCTCCTTTATGGGTGAATAAGAAATGCTTAATATGTTGAAGTATTATATAGTTGTAGATGGTGAGGTATGTCAGTGTATATAATAATGTAATGCTAGGTTGGACGTCGTCATCCATGAAATGATATAAAAATTGGCCTAATTCTTTGAAAGATTCTTACAATGTTTAATATATCATGAAATGTCAACTCTGATGCAAACGTGAGGACAAAACCAACCCAATGCTTTTAAATTTCTTAATCTCTATCGATCTATAGGTTTTCCTATTTCTCTTCGTCTCCACGTTATTTTGTCTCTGCCAAACTCTTTACTTTAATTCTTCGAATATCTGTCATCTCTGTTTCTCTCTCTATAACACTCTCACTGTGAGCACTGGGCTCAAATATATATATATATATATATATATATATATATATATATATATATATATATATATATATATATATATATATATATATATATATATATCTATGCACATGCCACGCAAAACGAGCTTTGGACGGTATCAAGCCAAACCTAATTTCCAACAACGTTGTCTCAATCTCTTTGTCCTTTTGGGACACAAACAACCCCAAGAGGGGAAAGTGATCAAATTTTGTGCCCTTATGATCAGCATATCTTATGGGAGAAACATGTTTTCTTTGTTTGGTTTCTGATTTCAGACCCTGCCATTCCGCATTTTTTTCATCCACCAAACTTCAAACTTGTGCCTAGTTTGTTTATCTCAATGGACAACCGGGCATTGATCCTTCTTTAATTGTAGAGGGTATTGGAATAATTTAATTGTCAATTTTAACTGAAAAAAATAATATTTTGTAGTCTAAGTATACATTATACTAGAAAATAAAAGATAAAAAATGAAAAGTTGTTCTCGTAACGTATTATTTAATAGTTCAATTCTTTTCATTTTCTATATATAAATATTACCAAAAAACAAACTTTAATTCGTGAATTTGTTTGACGAACTAATTTATTATCAATTATGTATATTTTGTTGCCCTAAAAAATACAACTAAAATTTTAAACTTATTTTTCATTATTGGTTAAGTTTTATAATAAATATGAATTATATTGAATTTTATTTATGATTTTTATACAGTTTACTAAATCTAAATGAATAATAGTTTGTAAAAAAAATATTGCAATGGTATCTATCACATAATGTGTATAAAAAAGGAGCACGTGATATATACAATAGTCATAATTAATACAACATTGAAACAGTTACCTTGATAGCGACCAAATGTACTGACACATTGTATTTGTATTTTTTTTTTTTCAAAAAATTATGCAGCTAAAGGTATATGTAACAGTAATAGAAACGCAGAAGCACATGTAGATAGAGAAATGTGTGTATAATTAGATAATTAATGAAAAATATAAAATAGTTACACAAATAGTGTAATAGGAAATTTTATATACAAATAATTGTTAAATAACTCAAATAATAAACAACCTAAAATAATAATATAACCCAAAATTTTATATAACACTCCTGTGTGATTTATGTGTATATAATATATATATTATTAATTACTTGTCAGAGGATAGATAAAGCAGAATTGACAATGTCACTTTTTGAGTTGTGATGGGTTGTTATAACCTGGAAGTTAAAGTATTTTTCATCATTTAACATAAAACCTGGAGTAGGAAAATTGGTGTTAATAGTAATAATAGTAATGGTATCTGGGATTGATAAAGACATGAGTAAGTTAAACCACATATATGGTTGCGGTATTCAACAAATTAAAAGAGTTGGGTGCATCAGAAGTCAATAAAGTTGATATAAATTTCAACTTCCCCTTCCACCTTCTAGATTTCCTTCAGAAGAAACCTCAATTGTCAAATATTTTGCTAACAAATCCTCTTTTTCCTTCAGATTTTCTGAACAAAAACAATTTACCATATTGGTTAAAAAGTAAGATCTGAATGGTTAAATTACCTCGGCTATTGCTATGTTGAGTCAGTGTTAATTTGTATTGATTACTAATGTATAAATAATGCTTGGACTTTGGACCTCCTTATTTAAATATTGAGTAATTGAGAAATGCCTATTGTCTTTTCTTTTCCTTTCCCATGCATGGAAGTATTCAAAGCTAGAGTCAAGATTCCAGTCATATAGTCTATGCATGCACTTAGAAAAGTAAATTACAATTTGTCAAATATGCAATTTATGAAATGCATATTTTGCAATCAGTTACTCTTGAAAAATGCCTAAAAATATAAACTATAGTAAATGTCATTGTTAATATTTTTGCACATTCCCCACCAAAATTGACTATTTATAAAAAGCACACACACCTATTACAATATTACTGTATTATATTAATTAACGTTGTCCAATCGCTAATATTCTATATAACACCAAAAACCAGACGTCACAGTTACACATACAAAGCAAAGAAGTCTATGAAAACATATGGCATTTTAAAAAAAAAAACAAGAGATATTTTAAAAATAATATGAGAGAAGCGATGGAGAAAATGCACATTATTGGGACAGAAAAACAGTGGTATTGAAACGGGAACAAAGTCTTAGTTTAGGTGGGAAGATAACGAAAGGAGGATTAAAAGTGGGGTCCACAGCATACATGCACCTATGTTAAGAATATAGAGCTAGCATGGTCAATTAAACGGACTGTAATAATATTCATAGATATCATTCATATTTTACATTTTGCTAGGGAAAAGAAGAGTGAAAAAAACACATTTTTCCTTTCTATTTTCTCTGTCATAAAAGTGAGATGTGAAATAAATTTACAAAATATAAAACCTGGATCATTATTATTTGAAAATATATGTATTATAATTAACATAAAAGTGTGAAGTCCCTAGCACAGGTCAAACAATTAAGATAATCACGAGCTAGCTATTAGAGACAGACAGAGAGGTAGATTGGATTTTACAACTGTCAAGGGAGGGGAAGAAAGGGTAGAGAGGAAAAGGGTAGGAATTGTCACATGATTTGCAACAGTGGAAAAGGGACCATCAACATCTGTATCCATTATGTAGGTTTATTACAATTTAAGGAGAACAAGTAGCCTGTCCGAATATTGTTGATTCTCATTTTTCTTTTTTCTTTCCTTTCCTTTGCTACCATAAAAGCCTATCTAATATCTTAAACTTATGACTCTAATTCTGCTGCTGAATTATATGCAACAGGCACCCCAAAACAAAAACCAGTTATCAACTGATATTCTCTCTCTCTCTCTCTCCCTCTTCCCACCTCCAAACATATGAAGGAACAGCATGATCCAAGATACCAAGATTAAGTCCAGTTCAATCTGTTCATGAGTTGTTGGCAACAAAGCTTTTCCATAGCTGCTGAGTGAAGATATGTTTGGAATTTGGAAGTAAAGAGCAGTTTCATATATGATCAGTAGGCTTTGGAAAAGAAAGAATAGAGGCTCATTAGAAGATAAAGAATAGAGGGCACATCAGCATCGTGAATGGTTTGGTGCTTTAGGGAAAAAGGTGAAACACTCATAATCAAGTATTCTTTTTCCTCTCTTTTGTTAATTTCTAGCGGCAACCATCACGGATACCGGTTTATATATATAATCCACCGTTTTCATTGGTTTCTTCCTCCGTCTCCTCTTTGTGTGGACTTAGGATCGTGAATACCATTCCTTTCTCTTTATTTCTTATGATTATATATGAATACTATTACTTTCCCTTGGTTTCTAATGATTATATATAAAACGTCCCTCCAATATTACTGCCCAAAAACACTGACGGTGTATAGCTTTTCACTATCTTATGAAACATCTTGAAATTTATTCATACAGAATCTGTTAAGGATTTCTAAATCAATCTTCATAGAAAAATTTTAAGCACCGGATACTTCCTTCTCAACCGCATTCACCTAACTGATATGTGTTTTGTTCCTGGTGATTGGAGTGTTTTTGAATTTATCTTTCTTAAGTTTACGGCAAAATAGTTAACCTTTTCTCTTCATATCGTACATCTTTTCTTAATATCTAGAATAAGAACCATGATACAAGTGCGTCAGCGCACCTTGTTCTTGACCTGAAAACCCATTTCACAAGATATCGTAAAACGTTTTTATTGATAAAATGGAGAGAAAATTGATTATAAAATCTGAAAGAACAATTTCTCTCTCTTCACCTTTATCGGTTTTCTTTATTCACTACCCAATGTTTATGCATGAATATTTGTGTGAGTTCGTGTACATAATCATGTGAGTGTGTTCTGTAAATCTCCTGAACTCGTTATATATGGAAACCTTTTGAAATTTATTGTTTCAGTGATTAAATTAAAACAATATATTTCCTGCGTAGGAAATAGCATGACCTAAGGTAAACTAAAGCGACTGTTCATACAATTTACATGTTTTATTAGTAGCAATAAATTTCATCGTCTACCCCTTCAGTTAATTCCTTTCAACTTAAATATGTGGATCTGAACTTGACATATCCATCATAATTTTTATTCACAGCTTCACGGTAGACAAGTTGGTTGCACTTTTACACTAAAATTCTTGAATTTTGACCTACTACTACTATTTGTGCCATAACTTTCTCACTGTTCATTACCTTGTAATTTTCTTTGGTATAGCTTCTTGTAATTTAACTAATATGACTTTATACGGAGTTGTAAAGCTTCGTAATTGTTGTAGAGAAACTACAGCCTGTTCTCACAAATTCTTCTTTATATTGTTTTGTTTTTTATTTTTTTGCCAACTTTGATCTATACATTTAAATATATATATATATATATATATATATATATATATTAATTTTTTGTGTTTGTTTCAGAATGCCATTCATAATTTGTTCACAATAAAGAATTGAAGAGCTGATATACTAATTCCTGAGCAACAACAGACGAATATGTCGGATGAATATGAGAGGAGTGAGGAACTGGTTGATGACACTTCAATGGGATCATCCCAGAAATGTTCATCCTTTGATTTGAATGAAGAAGCTAGTAGTGAAAATAACAACAATGATGATGAAAGTGACAAGGGATACGAGGAAGCTAAGGACGAAGGTACTTCAACAAATAAAAGTAGCAGCATAACAAGGGAAGGAAATCATGAACGAAGAGGTGGTGTGAGACAATACGTTAGATCAAAGATGCCTAGGCTTCGTTGGACACCTGAACTTCATCTATCCTTTGTGCATGCTGTTGAAAGGCTTGGAGGTCAAGAGAGTAAGTGGTTTAGAGAGACAAAGAGAGAGCATTCTTCTTTATATATATGTTCTTGATAAAGATTAGATAGTTAACTTGATTTAATTAAGGAAAAAAGAAGTGTAGTTTATTTATTCTTCTTTTGCTATTCGTTGTAGCTTGTCTTTATTTATTCCTTTATTATGACATTGATTTTGTAATTGGGTTAGAGTAGTATTTGTATTCTTTGTTAGCAAAATTTGACTATTAAAAAAAAATATTTGACCTAAAATGTTTGGTTGAAATCTTTGCATCAATTTGTGCAGGAGCAACACCCAAATTGGTGCTTCAGCTAATGAATGTAAGAGGACTCAGCATTGCTCATGTCAAGAGTCATTTGCAGGTAGCAACAAAATTGGGGGTTTCATATTATATTTCTTTCCCTTGAAAGTTATTTGATTTTTAAATGCCATAAATAATTCATAGTTATGCAATTTTCATTTCAGATGTATCGGAGCAAGAAACTCGATGAGGTTGGGCAAGGTGAGATCTATTCTAATTCTTACAAATCGTGTTAATGCAATTTCATTTTTTTTTTTTAATTCACGTTAGGATCTTTGGTAAGGTTGTGCAACATTTTTTAGTTAATATTAAGATATTTATTTTGTTGATTTTTTTTTTTAATTATATCTACGATAACCTAGGAATAAAATTTAACTAATGTTCTTTATTTATATCTCTTATATTTTGTTAGATACCGTATTCAAAATTCACAACTCATACACTAACAATGTTAATCACACCCAAAATAGAGAAAGGTTGTTACAGTCTCATTAAGTTAAATAGAGGCTAACAATTAATGAGAATAATGTCACATAACCGATCTTTAAGATACTTACTGTTAATCCCATCTCAATTTTCATGAAACTTAATTAGTCATAATCTTGTTATAATTAGCAACTTCATCGTCAAATATAAGTACTCAACAATGGTTTAATAACAATGTGTCATCCATGAATTGTGAAAAGAGATTTCCACTTGCTTTCCACCAATCTTAGAGCCTAGGTATAGATCCTACTAACTACACTTTTGACATGCATCCATTAAGAAAGAGGAAAGACCACAAAATAACACTCTCCTCAATCAGAACGAAATATAGAAAGAGAACGAAGAACACTAAAACAATCTAAAGCACCCTACATTTCTTACCTTCATTCCAAATGGGCTAAAACATAATAGATACATTAGACACTTTTGATGCATTCGACATATATAGAAAAAGGTATAATTCTTAAAAGAAAAAAAAATTACAATCCTTTTAGAAAAATCAACCACCTAACCACTCTTTCTATTAATATAATAATAAGATCTTAATTTTTTTATGTTTCTTATTGTATTATTATTAAATAAGAGTTGTAAATAAGTAAAAGTGGATTGTTATTATGGATGCTCTTCTTAAAAACTAAAGGGTATTAAATGCAGGATGCACAGAAAGAGTTAATATGAAATTTGATTTAAAATACATTATAATTAAGTTTAAATAAATTATTCACTATTAGGAAAATGTTTTACTACTGTTAATACTCTATTTTCCTACGTTCCACAGGCTTGTGTTTACAAAATGGAAATAGGCGCAAATTTGACTATTTCATTATTCGAACAAAGAAAATTGATGTACGATTATAAGATCAAACAATTATCTGAATTGAAAAAAAAAGTTTTTTTTTTTTTTCTGGTGATGAAAATTTATGCAAACTAAACACTAGTGCGATCTAAGAAAAAATAAAAAAAATGAAAGTTGGAACTACTGGTCCATGGATCCAAAAATCCACTTCAGAATTTTAGTGAAGTAATGCATGTTTGTGGAATACACTACCAAATAATGAAATGGAAAGAAAGAAATCTAGTTACTCTAAAATAATTTTTAGGGCTCTTATTAAATACTAAAACTGTATCAAACTTCATATGATTAGCAAATTTTAATACTTGATTTTTAATATATAGGAAGATGTAGCTATAATAAAATTGCGTAGTTAGCTATAAATATTTAAATTATATAAAATTCAGTATACATGGTCATGAAAATAAATCATACGATTTAATGGTTGTATCTGTCGAATTAATATTCTATAAAATTTATTACTTAATTAGGGTATATCTAAACTTACTCATCAGGTAAGTGAATATATTTCTTGAAAAATAAAGATAGTCCTTTTGGCTTGTTTTCTTAACTCATAATTTAAGTATAATCTTTACTCAATGGAAATATAATTGGTAGGTTAAACAATATCTTTCTAAACTAAAAATTAATTTGATGCATTGTACTGACACTATTTTCTGCAGATAATATATATTTCAATATTTCCTATACAAGCAAAATTATATTTTAATTTGTTTATTCAATATTTGTTTGACAAACATTATATTAGAGAAGTGAGTAAAATTCATTATTTGTTTCTATAATAGACGATTAAAATTTGAACCTTGAGTCTTTGGTAAGAGGGTGATGTTATGTTCGAGATTGTATTGTTAGTGGCGTTGTAGCTAGGTCTTATTTCTATGGGTTCGATATTTCATTTTTTTTTTTTTTTGACTATATATTCATCCATATTCACTTTGCAGTATTAGGTCAAACATACAAATCAACCCATGAACTTGGTCGTCTTTCTCATGTAGCCCATCAATCCATAAATCCTCGTCAACATTTTAAAATGGGGAATGGTGGAATTATTTTAGCAAGTGATTACAGCGAGCACAGTTATTTCCATGGTCTCTTGCATCCTTCCACCCTATCACATTCACATTCAAAAGTCATCGATTCAAGGTAACCATGCCAGCATTTTAAGCCATTTTTTATTCCAAATATTTTCCATGGTTTTGCAATAATCCATTTTTGTAATATATATATATATATATATATATATATATATATATATATATATATATATATATATATATATATATATACCTAACCATCACTAGGCACCAACAATGGCACCTCAACAATCATCAAACTTTTAGAAGACCAAGTTACTTTAGCAACGAAGTTGTCGCCTCAACAGCATTACAAACGCAAGGAAGATCAATGTCTGCAAATCAAATTCAACTAATGGATGCTACCAGCATTGCTCCCATGAGACCAAGCCAATTTCTTGAAGAGAAAAGATGGCCTCCATTGGAAATTATGAACAATCATCCCTGGAAGAAAAGGTTACCTGCCACTATTACTTCCAATACTGAGTCACAATCAGTTGTACTTCATCAATTTGGCACCACTACTCCAGCATCTCTTAGACCAAGTGAGTTCAACTTCGGAAACAACACAAGAATCAGGGAATATCTATCTAATTCCGATGAGCATCGCAGCTATTCCAACAGTTTCAAGATAGATTTTGAACCTCCATTTCGGATTAAGGTAACATTAAGACTCGTGACAGAAGAAAATTTGTTGTTATTTTCTTGGATTGGATATATTTTGATCCTTGAATATATGCAATTTTCTTTATATTTTATTCAAGTTTTTTAATCTTTATATTTACAAAATTAACCATGAGAATTTTTTTGATCTTTTCCAAGGATAAAAATCATTTTTATAAAATTTTTAAAAACTAGAAACTAGTAAAAAAAAAACTAAAAATAGTAAGAGCAAAATTTAAACTAAATTTCGAAAACATCTGTCACTAAAATTTAGTAACAGGAACTTTTTCGTTACAAAACTTGATTGTGAGATATGAGAATAAAAACTTCGTACTTTCATGACTGTATGGTAAACTCTTCTTTTACCTTTTTCCACTGATAGAATTTCGTTTTTCACCGAATGCAGTCGAATCAAGAGAAATTGCAGAAAGACAAGCAATGGGTACCTGATTTGAGACTGAGTTTAAGTCAGAGAGATGGCAACAGTGATGGCAAGACTGATGATCATTGCAGAGAAACCCAAGAAATCAACACGAAACTTTCACTTTCATAAAATCTATACCCATGTCAATGTATAATGCAAATATCACAGCCTAGCCATTTATACAGTCTGAGTGAAGATATATATATATATATATATATATATATATATATATATATATATATATATATATATATATATATATATATATATATATATATATATATCGATACCAAAACAAAATTACACAATTATATATGGCTATAACACTAATTAAATTGTGGTCTTGCCAGCAGTACATAGGTTTCTCCTCACACTCAAAAACACAATAAAAAATCGTATTTAAGTGTAAAATGAATGTGGTGGTGGTGATTAATAGTGAGTAGAGAGATTTTGGTTTGCAAGTATTTGGTTTAATCAGGCACACACTAAAATAAAAGAGAGTGAAGAAAATGACCTTTGTGTGAGTATGCATTGGATAAGTTTAGTTCAACAAGACTGAGAGAGAATATGGAGATCAGGCTTACTGCAAGAGATAGCCACAGTACTTCTGCAGCTACAGAGAAGAAGATTTAAGTTGGAAAACGCATGGATATAATTAGTAGGTAGAAGGTGAGTTTTATGATGAGAGTGGATTTTTTGCTTACTATAGTGCATTGTGTTTTTGGTTTGTTGAATGACATTGTGTAGTATTCTTTTAAGGGTGAATATTACTGTGTAGTTGAAATTAAGTTTTGAGAAGATTATTGGAAATAACGAAAGCATAGTACTTGAATTGTTTATTCTCTCTCACTCTCTCAAACAAATTTTGCAAGATATCCCTCTCATGTTTCATTCCTCAATTGATTCAAGAATTCAGCAAATTTTGCATATAATTTTAACATTGCTCATCAGGGACGGATGCACAGATTCTATTCTCCCCCGGAATGGTTTAAAAAATTATATCTAATTTATTCGTTTATAAAATAATACTTAGTATTTTAATAAATATAAATACTTTTTCTTAATTATAAGTTATATACTATAGCAATTGTTCACAATAGAGAAAACCCTACTAATAAATTTTTATTGATTTGAATTAAAAAACAACTTAAACCAAATTAATTCGCTAAAAAAATGGTTAATTCAATTCAGATCAATTAGATTTTGTTATATTAAAATATTTTCTAATATAATAAAATCTAATTGATTTCAGAGCTAATAAAAGGAGCTTCAGAAATCTTGCATTTGAAAATGTTGATTTCTCTTTAAACATTAATTCCTGTGTTTGTTTTTACATTCAATAAAGGTTTTGAAAATGCTACTTCAGAGAAACTTATTGATCTAAGGAGAAGGGTTAGAAATATAATTTAATATTTATTATTGGAGTTTGTTATATATCACTCTTTAAATTCTTGTTTTTATAAGTTTTAAATGTAGTGATAATGTGTGGTTAAAATACTTTTATTGGTAGTTTTAACTCTAATTTATCTTTAGATTAATGAGTGTAATTATTATCAATTCTTAATTCTATTTGTGTTTAAAGGTGGTCAAGTTGTCATAAATAAAATATATAATTAGTTATTAATCTTAAAAATATCGGAAAATCCAATAATAATTGTCTTTAATTTTTTTTAAATCAAATTAATCTTCTAAAATATATATTTGTTTATCCAATGAGTTTTAGTTTTGTTACTTGTACTTTTTTGTGTGGCATTTAATTAAAAGTTATATAAATTAAATAGAAAAAATGTTTTTCTATTAAATCATAAACCTCATATTAATCTCATTAATAATTAAAAAGCATCATTGATTTGATTTGAGTCATTAAATTTTGTAAATAACAAATCTAATATCCAAAGGAATGATTATCATGTTTAATTAATTTGGATTGGATTACATATAATCAAGCTAAAAATTATTTAATTAGTTTGGTTTTGATTTATAGTTGGTGTATATATATTTACCTTGTCTTCATCTATGTAAAAAAAATAATTGAGTATTATCATATTTATACATCATATATGATAAAAGTAAATATATATATATATATATATATATATATATATATATATATATATATATATATATATATATATATATATATATATAACATACTTAAGAATCCATATATCTCTAATGGAGATGAATGAGGAAACTAAATTAATTGGGAATGAGTTTAAGTTTTTTTCAATTAAAAAAAATTGAAGATAAAAATAGAATGACTAATCCAATTTTTTGTAAGTTACCGTTTCAGTTTCCATTTCTTTCTCCGTTTGTTTATATAACTCAATTTTATATTTAAATCTAGACCTACAATATTATATTTCTCTTTCATTCTCATATTTTATAACATAATTTTTTATTTATTTCATACTCTTCACTTTTTTTTGTTCGCTCAATTTTTGTTTTTTTTTTCATTTCTCATTCTTCTACGTTTTCTTAAATTTTTAACAAGTTTGACAAAAACATTTTTCTTTTAATCTAAATATTATAGATTAATCTTAAAAATACCTAATATCATTTTAATTCTAATTTATCTTTATTAGATTTTGTTATATTATATTTTTTTAACTTTAATATATTTTGTATCAAATTTTATGTTAATTAAATATTTGTTTTTTGAATTATTCACAGTTTTAAATGATTAATACTAAAGTATTGTATTACTTTACACTAATCAAATAAAAATTATTTTATTAAATATTTTTAATAAACTATATATTTCGTATTTATTAATATATTTTTAAAATGATAAACATGAGTATAATGTTATAATATATATATATATATATATATATATATATATATAATAAAAATAAAAATATAATAATAATAATAATAAATATTCTATATTTATATGAAAAAAATATTTCATATATATGAAGAAAAAAATTAATTTAAAATATATAATCAATTAATAATACTAATTTAAAAATTGTAAAATTATAAATATTTATTTATATATGAAAAATAATACATAAAAATAAATACTAAAATTAATTTATTATAATTTATATATAATTTTTTTTAAAATATGGAACCGGTCCAAAACGAAAAAAAATCTAAAACTCAAGGATGATAATTAAAAAATGTTAGGCTCCGAACTCTTGGTTACCCTGCCTAGTGAGGATGAGTTTGGTGGATACCCACAAATTTGTAATTGTTTGTCATGACATGGGTGATATATTAAACATATTTATATTATGTGCCATTTAACCATTTTGTAACTATCAACTTTTTTATTAGGTAAGAGGTTAACCTAGATTATTCTTCTCGAATACTCAAATTAATTATTTTGAATTCATTACTAACCAAGGGGATTTGTATCGTTTCTTCATGTTTTGGAAATCATTTGATTGTGTAATTCAAGTCAGCTCTTGGTCAATGCTGATTAGGGAAGATGCTTAAACAAATACTGGGTTTTGTCTGTCTAGGAAACACCTTGCTGTCGTGGAAGTCAAAGAAACACCCTGCTGTTTCCAACTCATCTACAGAAGCTAAATAATGTGCCTTATCCTCAGTGGTAAGTGACACAGTTTGGCTTATGCGTGTAGCATTTTGAGGTTCAATGAATGAAGGACATGAAGCTAAATTATGTGCCTTATTCTCCCCCTTGAATAGGAGTTAGAAGTTGTTATTGTCTCTTACCTTCAAGTTTTCAATGAATGAATTATTTTTGCCTTTTCACAATTGAACAGTCAGGAACACTTGAATTGAGTGCTTCAGTTTTCATAAGTAACCAAGAGCAAATATATTAGATAATAAGTGAAGACTGCGATTAAGGAGATGTACTTAGCCTTGTTGACGTGGTAGGTTACAAACAACATCTTGAAGAGCTTATATGAAACTTTATGTTTTTTTACCTAATAAAAGTTGTTCGTGATGTTTGTATAATTTTTGCTTTTAGTAACTTACTATACATAATCAAGTTTGTGAGATGTACACCTGCTTTTAGTAACCGGAATTAATTTATTTTCATAGCTGGACATAAGTTTATGAAGTCAAAGAAAAGACAGATTAATGTGGAGAAGATTTCTGCATGCAATAGTATGCATAAAGAATAAACAATTAAACATGAATAACAGAAATTACTAATGTGTTTATATATATACATATGTATAAAATACCGATACTTTACGATTAGCTGAAGATTATGAAACCAATGGTTCGTTCTGAGCAAGCAGAGGAAGAACCACGAGGTGAAAAGACACGATAGTAGTGCACATGCACTTCTCTGGAGGTAGCTTACGAAATTACCGAAAGTTCTAAAAGTCCACAAAAGCTTTTATTGGTCATAAAAAATTATATCGATTCCTCTATGTAAAATACTGATATGCAAAAAATCAATTGAAAATGCAAACTAAGAGGCTAAAATTTAACCTATGCTGTCATGCCAACAACCAATAGGATAGGAGGAGGAGGACTAAGTCCCATAAGGCTGAAAAAATAAAGGACATAAAAAAAGCTTGGACCATATCATGATATACACGCCAGTGTTCCATCTCTAAGATTTCGAATGCTGAGACCTATACACGACTAGTTCCTGTAGAAAAAAGTTAAATGTGAGTTTTCATCCTTTTGTGACTTAACCATTGGTTAAGGCCAAAAACAAGGCTAGAGGGATTAATGATGTTACCTTAGAACAGCTTACATGATCATGATTCACATTCGAAGATTTCACTATTGTTTCCCACTTAGTATAGCTTGATGCTCTACTAAAACTCTGGTTTTTAGCCTTGAAATGTGTACCTTGATTCGAATGTGGGAATGAATTCTTAGAAGAAACTAGAGGCAGGGCACGACAAAGCCAGGACTCAGAAGGTGACTTTGGCAACGGTGGGGCAAGAGGATGCAGAACATATTCCGTGCCAACTTTTCCTGGATCATCAACTACTACAATTTGCTGGTTGTTGATCTCTGCATCTTTGTCAAATGAACTTGGCACTAGTTGCAAGGATATGGCCGCTTGATTAATTTCTTGATCAGCTGTCATCGGTTCAGCATTATCTTCTTTGGCCATGAGATACACCATGTTAGATAAAGTTGAAGAATTGGCATCCACAGAATTCAACTCTCGAAAAGAATCTAGTAAGGAATTTCTTTCTTTTCCTACCAATGTTGCACTTCCTAAAGAACGTGAACTAGAGGATGTTGATTTTATAGCACTCGAAGAATCTATGTACAAGGTCTTTTCGTTAATAAGGCTCCCAGAATTTGAGCTTCTTTTGGCTCCTTGTGATAGCATCTCTTGAATACTTGCAGGTCCTCTACTAGGGAATTTCAATTTGCCAGAAATTTTATTATCAGCTTGTTTGGAATCACGAATAGACTTTGCTCCAGGAAAGAGAGGTTGAGATTTACTTCGAAAAGGAGATATGCCAACAGCAGCAGCTCTAGAACGATGAAAGGGAGAGAGCCTACCTAGCTGCTTCATTTCACCAGAGTAAGTAAACCTGCTTGATTCACTAGTCCATTTTTTCCTTACATCCTGCTTGTCTGGTGATGCAGCCCTAGAGCTTGATTTCCTCTTATTAATAGCATCCCAAGCCTGCAGCAAAAATTCACGATTGATAAATGTGTTGAAATCATGATTGGTGTAATTATGTTGAAGTCATCATTGATGAAAAACTTATATACAAGGGTGGGAATGGATCTTCTAATATTGAATTTTCGTGAAATTGTCATGTGAGATGGTGTCAGTCTCTCTTCATAGGTATTCAATAGACACAAATTTTTCAAATGGTTACGCTTTGTAAAAATTCAACGTGATAGAATTCATCCCTGGCTATGGTTACAATTGTCTACAGAAGGGTGAAATGGAATGCATGAATAGAAAATAAGTGTTATGTACTTCATACCTTCTTTACAACTGGAGCTGGTTTATGAGAGCGAATATGAGAACTTTTATCAGGTTTTCCAACCTCATAGGCAGAATACAAGGACAACTGATTCTCCATTTTTGTCCCAGTCACTGGATTTAATAAGCACAATGAATTTCTAACACATAAGCGGGGAAGCAACCCGCAACCTTTAGCTGAAATATTTGCATAATCATTAGTTTCATCACCACTTTCCTCTTCTTCCTCGTCTTGACATTGACCATTATATGGTACAATGTCAGTGATATGTCTATTAACAAATGACTTCTTTTTCTCAGGAACCAATTTGATAAACTCTCTAGGTTGTTCTGCCAGAACAGATTGCTTTCTAGAAGAAGTATATTGAGGAGGCTGGATAGTCATAGCCTTTGCTGCTTGTAAGAACCGGCTCATCATGAAATCATGAGCTTGTTTATCTGTAGAAGAGGTTCCACAAATATTTGCATCCAAATTATCTAAGCCACTCACCCCACTTACACTACAATTCATGGACAATGGTTCTGTAGGTGACAGTGTTTCAAGGGCATCTGAATAAACATCATCATCATAGTCATCGTTCTCTTCCACCTTTTCTATTTTCTCATCTTTGTGTTCTTTGCCACCATCTATTTTCTCAATAAAAGAATTTGATGTGCTTCTGGATCTAAAGTTATTTGCAGCATTAGGCTCCTTTTCAAATGGTTGTTTGGCAGCATTTGTGGACTTTCCAGGGGGAAGAGTTGGGGTTGGGGTAATTGAAACCTGTATAGGAGGTTGAGTTTCAGATCCATCACAATCCTTCGGCTTTCCAGGGATATGCTCCCAATTGAAAGGCACTGCAACAGGTTCTGTTACCTGATCCAAAGTTGCGTCTGATATACAGTGTGGAAGTGTTTGTGGCTTCTGTAATATCTTTCTACTTGTTTCAGTTAAGGATGGAGGTGTACCAAAAGAGCGTCTCACTGACATAAGAGGAGCATCAATGTTTAATTTGCTTTCATCCATCATGTTCCTCACCAACAGCAGCTGAACTCTTTCTTTCTTCTTTGCAGTCACTCTCAATAGTAAGTTCAAGAATCAAGGGAATATTTTATGCTACTAATTTCAGCACAAAAATGATGAGATAACAAAATCCTTCTGTTCAATATAGAAAATCTGGAAATAGAGTATGGAAGAACTAGATCATTACATTTTAAAATACAATTTAAACAGCAGATTCTCTGCCTCAAATTTCAATTCAACAGGACTAAAATCGATACCGGAGGAGCACAGTGATGCAACCAGTACGCAAAATTTAAACCAAAATGAACTCATGATAACAGCTATAGATATCTGAAATAACTTCCCATTTTCTCATCCTTTAACCAGAGAAAAAGAAAAATTCCCTAATGCTATATTGAACCAGTGAGACCGGAAACGCAAACATTCCACTGATTCTAGTAATATAAGTTTTGATATTTGTTGCTTAAGAAACAAAAGACTCAAGCATAGGACGATAGAATTCCTGTAAAAGCCCCACTTTCCTCTTCTCATAAGCCAAATATACAAATATTTAAAAATTGCAAAAGAAGCATAATTAATAAATTAAACAGTCAAAGCAAGAGAACCTTCATGGATCTTATATCATAAGCTTAAGGTCCCACTAGAGTAATAATTAAAATGCAAGAGAAAAAGCAATGAAGAAAAGATCATACCTATTTATAACAGCACGAAACACGAGACATGGTCATCCCAGGAATTTGCAGTGCAAGCCAAACTGAAGAAAGTGTCTGGAGTGTGTTTTTTGTGAAGGTCATGTGACATTATGCATCTGAATTGGGCATACAAAAGTCAAGAAATGGATAGCAAAGAATCATCAAATAAGTAGTGAGTGAACATCACTTGGTGAGATAGTTGAGTCCCACGAAAGATGAAATGGTTGGTTGCAAAAATTGATATGAGTGAGCGAGTGAGTGGGGGAATGAGTAAGCACAAAGGAAAGCAGAGATAAAGACAGAAAGGTTCGGTATTTGTTCTTCTTTTGCTTTCTGCGTAATTTCGGATTTTACAATGTGTCTGTTAGATACTGACCAAGATAACGTTACAGAATGGACTAAATATTCCACTCCAATGCTGTTACACTTATTTTCACTGTGATCCAATGCTGTTCAAACCACTTTCTTTCTATTTCTACTACTACTACTAATTTTGATTTTGTCTAAACAAGTTTTTCCACATCGCTTTCATACATGGCTTCAACGTTAAGCTAAAGAATCCCCTAAAGTAAACTCATTTTAAAATTAATGATTAGGCATATATATAATCTTAAATATACCATCATTCTCTTAGACAAAAAATAAATATTAACTTTTATCCACAGCCACTTTAAATATACCATTACTTGCTATCTATATTTAGTAATTTTGAATCATAAAAGTTTGTAAATCCAGACATGTTTGTTTTCTTTTTCATTTTTTTGAGATATCCGTTACTAATGAATCCCTCCATATAAATAGCCTAAACTGGTCATTTTGACAGGGTACTATTTTTTAACTTAAATTGAAAAAAATTATTCTATTTAAAAAGTAAGTAACTTTATTTATATTTAACTCACCAATTACAATCATTTTCTCTATTCCACCATTTACAATGTTTTAGAAAAAAGAAATTTTCCAAAAAATAGTTGTTTTATAAAACCTATGATGCATTAATTTGTTTTGACGACTATCCTTAATCAATATTTTTATATTTGTATCAAAACTTTTAAATTTTACATAAAGTGACACTATATTTAAAAAAAATCTTTCGTTTTCAATAGTACTTTCTCATATTTTACATACTTATAAATTTTATTATTTTTCAATTTCATGTTTCTTTTTAGAAGGATTTGTTTTTCTAAAAAACTTAATGAACTTATATCATAAATAAAAAAGTTATTAAAAATAAAATCACAATAAAAAGAATGATATTTTAGTGTCAATGTCCACTACCAAAAAAAAACTAACAAAAAGAATAATAAAATATTAAGAGTTTGTTTATTTAGTGTATTTTTAAATAAATTTTAATTTTTTAAATTTATATGATAATTATTTTACTGAAATTGTTTTCTAGTTTAAAAATTTTGATAAAAGTTTTTTTTTTTGTTTTATTAACTGTATATATGTTTTCATTAGCTTGCTGGTTTTAATTGTTATAAAGTTGTCAGCATCATTCAATTTTTATGATTAATTGTCATTAACGTTAATCTTTTGTTTAAACTAATTTTGAAATTAAAGTTATTAATATATTTTTTCAATTTATTCTCCAAAAAAATATTTTAAAATATTTTTAAAAATTAATAAAAAAAACTAAAGGAAATCTATAAAAATAAAATTTTGTAAAGGGAAAGATATGTAAGATCAATTTTGACGGAAAATTTTAAAAAACGTAATATACATTATACCAAGTTTTTTGTTTTAACTTTGTCTCAAATAGATAGTTCATACGGTGATTTTTAAATACTGCGTGCATCAGTTTTTTAATAACGAATAAAAATATTTCAATAGAATGGTTTCATTTTAGGTAAATCTAATAAAGATTTTCTTTTTCATACAATATATTTTAGCTTTTAAATATTTTAGAGTCGAAAAATATTTTTTGCATTTTTAATGAAAAATACTCAATCTCGTGTAAATCTGATTAAACAAATTAGACATTATTTTAATTACGTTCCATCATTCATAATTATTAAATTAAAATCAATTTCTTTATCACGACATGTTTAGCTTTAAATTCTCACATTTTTATGAAAATAACGGGCCCATATATACTTTCTTGAAATTAATATAGACAAATGTTTCAATAAAATTTAACAATTCAAAATTAATTTTGTCTAATTTTATAAAACAAAAAAGAATTCAAATTGAAATTAACTTTATTACGAAAAAAATTAAAACTACTTCCTTTATGAACTAAAATGTCTAAACACATCAACGTTAAATTCATTTACTTATGAGAATTTTTTTACGAACTCATATAAAAAGTTAAAAAGTCTCATAAATAGACGTCATAATATAACATTTATCTCATTGCAAGAAGACGAATGGAGACTAAAACCTAACCTATCAATTATCACGTACAAGTTCCACTCCTCTCAAATTCTTAAGATTATTTATTAATTGATCTATGTACTATTGTGAGTAATAAATAAACATTAAAAAATTTTGGATTGGAAAATAATTTCCTTGTTTATCTTTATTTTATTTGATGCTAAATGAATTAATTTTAAACCTCAAAAAATACTTATAAAATGTTGGCAATTTGAGGGTTTTGTGTATATGTGTATTTTTTATATATCATATGGGTATATTTATATTCATGTACTTTATGTGTATATATAGAGTAAAAATATTACAAAATATCAAATATTAATAATATTTCAATCATAACTGCCTAAATCAAAATAATAACTTAATATCTTTTTATCTTCTCTCTTAAAAGATAATAAAATCTCTTAATACCTAATTTAAATAAAAGATAATAAAGTAATATTCTCAACATTCATTTTTACTTTAATATCTATTTATTTGAATTTGATATTCTTCCTTTTATTTTGTTTATAATTTTTCCTCATTTTTTGTTTATACTTATTGTCATCTTCTTTCTTGAACGAGATCACATCTTCATTTAACTTCACTTCCTTGATCAAAATAAATTTTTCTTTATCAACTTCATCTCCTTTGTTTCTTTCAAACTTCTTTATGGTAGTACCGTTGACTCTTTGATGGATGTTGAAAACGGTTTCTTCATCTACATCTTTATTTTTCTCTTTAACATCAAGTTCCTTCAAGAAATCTTCTTCATACTTTTTCTTTGACTTTTCTTTGACTTTTCTTTTATATCTTCGTTTGTAATAAACTCTTCTTTCATCAAATCTAAAGTGAAACTTTTTCCTTTCATGTGAACTTTGAATATTTCCAAGTTATTTGTATCTTTAATCACACAAAGTTTATGTTCAAAAGACACTTTATAATTTTTCTCCAATAATTGAGCAACACTTAACAAATTATGATTTATATCAGGAACATATAAAACATCAAAAATCAATTTGATACCCGAATGACTTTTAACTACAATTTTTCATGTACCTTTCACGTCCATTTGTTCTCCATTACCAATTCTCACTTTAGAAATATGTGATTCGTTGAGCTCTTTGAAAAATTCTCGATCATGAGTCATTTGGTTTATACAACTACTGTCTATAAGTCAACCTGTGGATTTGTTTATTGTAGAGCATGTTGATGCAAGGAGAAGTTCTCCTTCTACTCCATCCTCTATAACTTGAAGAAGTTCCCCATCTACTCCATCCTCTATAATCTTGACGGCTTCTTCTGGTTGTGATTTGCATATCTTTTCTATATGTCCCAATTGACCACATTTTCGACATTTCACATCAGGCCTCCACCAACACTTGTTGGGTGTGTGATTATTTTTCTTGCAATAAGGGCAAACAGACAATACTCGTGATTTTGTACCTTTGTTGTTTTTGGCTTGGAGAGAACCTTCATCATGATATAGTAAAGAACCTTCACCAGCAACATGATATCCTCTCATCAATCTTCATTGCTCTTGCACTTGTAAAACATGTAACACTTATGTCAAAGTAATATTAAACAAATCATTTGTATTTTCCAATGAAGCAATAGATGCTTCATATCTCTCTGACATAGTTACCAGAATTTTCTAAACTATTCTAGAATCAGAAAATTCCTTGCCTAACAATTTTATTTTGTTAGCAATACCTAACAATTTGTTTGAGTATTCATTAATTGTTTGAGACTCTTGCATCCTTTGTATATCAAATTCCCTTATCAAGTTTAAAACTTTCATACCTCGAATTTTCTCATTCCCTTCATATTGATCTTTCAAATAATCCCAAATTTCTTTGGGTGACTTTAGCGTCATGATTCTAGTGAGGATCATTTGTGAAACACCAGCAAACAAACATGATTTAGCTTTTGCCTTCCTCGTTTTTCTTTCTCTGTGAAATT